TTTGGGACTGTATTTAAAGTAAAGCATAGATTGGATCATAAGATATATGCCGTTAAAAGAGTACAATTTGGGGGTAAATATAATATCTATTACTTAAAATTTATTCATTAAATGTTAACAAATAATATATCATAAAATCTATAGATTTTAATACAGAAAAGAAACAAAAAATGTTGAAAGAAGTAAAACATTTGGCAAAACTGGACTCAAAGTTTGTGGTAAAGTATTATCACTCATGGCTTGAGTCCAATCATCTCTTCATTCAAATGGAGTTTTGCTCTCAAAGTCTTAAATCTGTTCTCAAAGACAAACCCATTGTCTTCGAGAGACAACCGGAAGACTTGATTAATAGTGTGTTTGAATATTACATTTCGTGTGAAATATTTAAAGAGATCTTAGAATGCGTTCAATATTTACACGAATCGAAACCAGTGATCATTCATCGGGATCTCAAACCCGACAACATTTTAATTAATATAAACTTCGGGTCCAATCGTTGCGTAAAACTGTGTGACTTTGGTTTGGCCACCGATCACAACACCGATGGACACACTTCCAGCCGATATGAACACTCAGTAGTGGGCACATCCAGATATATGGCACCCGAAGTATACAGCGGTAGATATAACCACAAATCAGATGTTTATAGCCTGTCATTAATTGGCGCGCAATTGTTTGCTATCGATCTTCAATCGTAAGTATATATTATCTAAAATAATATAGATTTAAAAATTATATAATAATCTATTAATTATATTATGCATTAATTTATAGTTCACAATTGCTAGAAGAAAAATGGTCTGTATTTAATAAAAACGCACTATGTATTTACCGGACACTTCTAGCAATGATGTCAACACCCAATTGGGGAGATAGGCCTGAGTGTAGGCAAGTGTTGGCTAAACGTAACGAGTGGTCAATCAATAGGAAAATTGTCGCAAATCACAAAGAATTTAATATTATTTTAAACAGACTTAGTAATAATCATAATGATAATAATAATAATAATGATGATGATGATGATGATAATGATAATAATAATAATTCAATTTTCTGTGAAATATTAATGCATAAACTAAACAACACAGATGTCCCGCCCGGTTGGACATGGCCTACATGGAAATTACCAGTTAATAACAAATATATTACTAAATGTTCACGTTTATTTATAATTATATTACTTATTATTATTGCATTTACAAATAATTGTATAACAGATAAACAGATAACTCAGATAACAACAGCTAATGAGACACTAGTTATAACAGATAATTCAAATTTATACACAATTTTATGGTATATTATTATTGCACTTACAATCAATAATTTACAATTATATTTATTTGTTTTATGTATTATTGTAATGTTTGTAAACAATGTTATTAATAATCAATTTGTTATATATGTACATTTAATTCTAATATTTATTATGGCAGGATTTACGCTAAATTGGTTATTAATTTTCAGTAATTATTTTCAAAATTACAAAACTATAGTTACAAAGTATATTAATTATTATTTAGATAAATATAAATACTATTTGGCCTGGTCTGTGATTGCAATATTGTTATTGCTGTACATTTCTTTATTGAAAGAAATCAATGTTCATGAAATTATTTTTCTATTTATAATTGTGTTGGTGAATACTTTGCGTGTGTATTATAACAAATCAATTATTATTATTTAGATTTATTGTTAAAATGAGTAAATTATTATAAAAGTTTTTATTTACTAATAGAATTTTGACAATTATTTAACAAAAATAACACTAAATTGCATGTTTTCAATGATTGGAATAATGAATTTGTATATGAAATTGTATTTGGTTTATTTATTATTTTTGTAGCTATATTATATTTGTTATTAATTTGTAAGGATAGAAATTATATTTATAATGTATATTTCAACATAATTTATTTATAAGATTTTACATTAAAAGTATTAGATTAAATTTGTTATAATTTGTTGACTTTATTGACGTATAAAATTAAATAAAATGTACAATAAATGTAACTAGGATTATAATTGTTTCCATTGGTTTTCACTGATTATAACAATTATTATCAAAAGGTTATATTTAAATGTTATCATTGACACAAAAATCTATACATTAATGATTAATATAAAGTGATATTAATTAGTTAAGACATTTTGGAAAAAGTATTCTGACATTTATATCTCTAGTTAAGCTATAATTTTGTACATTTATTTATTAACACAATTTTTGTAATTAATCATAATTTTTTAAAAATGAGTAAATTATTAAAATTGTATAAATTTTGTGATAAAATTCCAATAAGTATACAATAAAATATTGCAAAGATACATGTTTTTAGTGATTATTATAATAAATATAACGTATTAATTATAACCAACAATGATATGGCCTATGGTTTTGGTCATAATAGCCGGGGATGTCTGGGCTTTGGACACAACAGTCCAATACTATCACCAGAAATAATACCACAATTATGTCATCAAAACATACAATACTTTGTCAATGGGTTTGCGTTTGTATTAGCAGTGAATGAAAACAATACAATATATGGGTTTGGAAATAACGCATGTGGACAATTGGGCCTGGGTGAAATAAACAATAAACAAGATTGTTTGCCACTAGTGTTGCCAACTCTGATCGACTACCGCCTTGAAAAATACAAAAATTTTCTAAATTCACCTTGACCAAACCTTGACCACCATTATTAGTGCATATTTCATTATGAATATTTTTGAATTATGAGCAAAATTTTAATTTAAGCTTTAATTTCATTTAGTTTTATAATAATACAGTGTATTTTCCATATAAGATAGTGGCTTTCTGAAGACAAAAGTCTTTCTTATAAAGGGTTTTTAATAAAGGATTTGTTTTGCTATCATACAAATAGGTAATAAATATTATTCTGGGTTTTAAAAAGTTTGTTCATTACAATAAATACCTAAAACAGACATACGGTAATTACATTTGCTCTCACCTTGACCTGTCTATGTCAAGGTGAGACCCTCGCCTTTCACCTTGACCAGAACCCTCTCACCTTGCAAATCAAGGCAAACCTTGACCAGTTGGCAACCCTATTTGCCACCAACAAAAATAACATACTTTAATGATAAAAATATCGCACAAATGAGTTGCGGTTTTGAACACTCACTGTCGCTCACAAGTGATGACCGGGTGTATGGCTGGGGTGTGAATACCCAAAAACAAATTGGTTGCACCGATCGTAATGACTATATTTGTACACCACTTGAAATACAGTTTAGTAATAATTGTAAAATACAATCTGTTTATTGTTTTAATGACTCGTCGTTTGCCATTACATCCGACGGACATGTGTTTAGTTGGGGTCACAATACTGGCCATCGTTTGGGACACAATATAACCGATGATATAGTAATGAAACCCCAATTAATATCAAGCATATGTAGTGTTAAAACAATTAGTTGTACACAAATGAGTACATATTTTTTGACTACAAGTGGTTTGTATTTTTGTGGAAAGTATTGTAATAATAATAATGAAATGATTAGCGATACAAATTACTCGATTGATGAAATACCAAGGTTAATATTATCTGAATACCGTATTAACAAAATTCAGCAAGTTAATTCGCGGTTGGATTGGATATCGACTAAATTTTTATGTGTTTTAATAAATGATAAAATGTATAAAATATCAAATGAATTGAAATTAATTAAAACAAATTATGATAATTTTATTGACATTTACGCTAATGAATGGCAAATAACTTATAATACAAGTAATTTAAAATATATTAATAATAATTTAAGTAATGGTAATTATAAGACCAAATTCATTGAGATGTCAGCCATAGGTTCGGGTGGTTTTGGGACT